TCAATTTTAATTTTCACCCAAGTCAATTTTAAAATAATTTGTTTTTTTGTAATTCTCACCCAAGTCAATTTTAATATAATTTGTTTTTTATAATTCCCACCCAAGTCAATTTTAATTTCCACCCAAGTCAATTTTAATATAATTTGTTTTTTATAATTTTCACCCAAGTCAATTTTAATATAATTTGTTTTTTATAATTTTCACCCAAGTCAATTTTAATATAATTTGATTTTTATAATTTTCAGCCAAGAATTTCCACCCACCGCGTGACGTCATCTCAAGTACACAGCTTTCGTAATTTATATGTTGACTTATTTGTGTTCATGAAAAGATCAACCTGTCTGATATATCTTATAGTTGTAGGCTGACATTGAGAATAAGACTGTAAATGTTTTGATGTTGTGCCCCTACATATCTTCATATTCTCAACAGTTCTTATAAGTAAATCTATAGATGTAACTTTAATTTGAACAGGAAACAAAAATGATTATATTGTACTTCACAATTCAAGTCCTTGTCAATGGTTAAATGGTATGTTACACTTTTATCTTCAGTTTTAAACAGATAGATATAATCACTTGAAGACTGACATAGCCACAAAGCAGGCATTTGACATAAAAATGATTTCTGCAACATCTGAAAGGTTACTTCGTTCATATGTAAACATTGAGTTTCCTCGGTTTTCCTTGGGCTCTGAATAAAATAGACAAATTCATAAAATTCAATTAAAACAAGAAGAATTGGATTCTCATACATGTATTCATAATTTTCTCGGTTTCTGAATAAAATCAAAAAAATTACAAAAGTAAATATAAAGAAGAATCGGATATTCATACAAGTATTTATAAATAAAATTATGGGAGATTACAGAAAGAGCTAGCAGTTCTCATTATAAAAGTTAAAAACTAGATAATGTAAAGGGAATTTGCTGAAAATTTCAGTCAAATTGATCTACTCCGAATCGAGTATTTAGTGATTGAAGTTTGGGCCTATCCTCGATCATCATTACTAAGGTCGGTACGATAAAAAAAAACCCATGTTCTCGATTATCCATTTTTTGATTTAATCAGAAGTAGCAGACTGGGCTCTAATCCAGTATATATCACAGGCTAGCGATGCCATCGAGTGTTGATTATCGTCTGGATAAGTTAATTAAAGTCTAATTAATACTTTAGATAACATTCCAGGCCTTAAGAAAGACCTGCAATTGACAGATTTAGCTCTTGCATAATGTCTGTTTAATATTGATGAATTAAATGTTCATATACTGATCTTTTATAAGGAAACATCGAATGTTCATAATTATAATTAAGTTAACAGAAATTTAAGTTACCGGTGACTTCCTTGGATTCAATTTCTTTGTTGTTACGCTTTTCTGTAGAAGAATTAAGGTTGATAGACTCCCTAACCCTTCTTTTAATCTTCGATATGTGGACCCAGAATTTTTGTAAACATCTGAAATATTCATAAAATCAAAATAAAAAGGTTCCTACATACAAAACAAAAGGTTCAGATATAATTTTTTTTCCCATGCTTGTTGATTATTCATACCGGGAACAAGATTATTTCGGAATTTAAAAGTAAAAGGATTTGTCATAAATAAATATACAATTTTAATTTTTATGGAGCTGCTCAGTTAAAACTTTGACCTTTAAAAAAAATAATAATTAGTAATTCATAAATTAAAGTAAAAGAAGATTGTTGAGAGAGAATCGTCATGCTGTCACACACTCATCGGGTGTAGTATTCGTCAATTTCATAACAAATTGCAAGTAGACTAGGCCTAGCTACGGCACTAATGTAAACAAACCTATATGCATACAACTTTGATGAGAAAAAGGGTAAAATCTAACGGGCAAACATGAAAATACAGACATTCAGCTAGTATGGGTTTAACTTAACTCCATTGTAGGATGTCAGGGTGGACTGCCAACTAGAATCTACATAATTAATTTCTTTTGAGTTTTCACTTACTTTTTCAACGAAATAATCCGACTCAACGTGTCTTGAACATATTGTCAAGGTCTTGTCATTTATCGGGTCTGATCTGGTAGACTGTATGATACGTAATGATTCTCTCTCCATTGATAGAATGATCAACCCCGATTTCTTTTATTGCAGGCGGAACATCCGAACAAAACACAATTCGCGCCAGGCATTTTGTTAGTGCGAGCAGAAACCGGAAGTACGCTGTGCCCGATATCAGCGTCAGAGACCCGCCGTCACATAAGGTAGTGACGTCACACGGTGGGCGTTCCCGTTAGTATTCTAGTTCTATGTTTTGACCTAGCCGTTCAATGACCCTTGACCTTTGCATGTATGATGACCCTGACGTCTAACATCAAAACGTTCGGCCTTGAAGTATAACTTTCGGTTTTAATAAGAGTTGAAAATGAGTTTTTTCCACTTTCATGGGTATTGGATGTAACTATGCCCTACAGTTCATGGTGTATCTAGATAGTGACCGTAACCTGGCGTACCATGCGTGATATGTTCCCATGTATCGTGTTGAATAACGGCTATTGTATTTATTATTAATCAATTACTATCCATTTTGTAAGCTAGGTAAAAAAATAAATGCAATATAGGGCAAATAAAAAGGGCTTAGATCATGCTTTATACGGACCTTCTGTGTTTTCCTTACTTTTAATAAAGCATTGATTTGAAACGTTCTGGACGTATTTGCTGCTGTGGGTTGGAATAGGTGGTGGATGATGGTGGGGGCTAGTAAAATCCGATTGTGGCCACGAGCGCTGAACCTGTAAGTTTTCACTCTAAGAACGCCTAGTTTTAACTTGTCTTTGACATTGAGGGAGACCAACGATTTTCAACAATTTTGCCTGACCACAGCGCTACACCGTACTCTTTTTTCGTGCTGCCAATGGTATATAAGGGCCTGGTTTTCCATTCCAACCGAACGGCTAGGCGTTTTTCATTGACTGCCCGCTCGTCCTGTATCACCAACAAGGGTAAATCGGACAGGAAAATCCACGAGGAACTTTTTTTGCCGAACACCGGACCTCCTAGCTAGTTACTAAACAAGCACAATACCTACTGAAGCACCGCGGCATCTTGTTTGTAGACATGACATAACACCCCAGTCCCTATTTTGCCTATTGCGATGCCGGAGGGCCTGACAGGGACAGCTGTCTAGTCGTTCGGATGGGACAAAAAACCGAGGTCCCGTGTACACATTGGCCTGCACGTAAAAGATCCCTTGACAGTTGGAATTCGATATAAGAGTAGGCCGTAGTGCCGCTGTCCGGGCAAAATTTCCCTCATAACACACTGTATGGCGTATGCCCGTCTTCATTAGCCCAGTTCGGAGCAGAACAGTAGGATGTTAAACCCCATTTCATGTGATTTCCTATTGCGACGGACCCACATGCCGGAGAAGGCGCCACAATCCCCATACACACACCTAACAGTAAGTGCAGGGGGGGGGGGGGCTGCACCACACACAATTACGCAAAACAAATGTACGGACAAGACACAATACGCAGAAATCAAAAACAAACGTACATATAAGATTAAGTGAATGGATCCGGGCGCTAGCCGTAACCGTCCACTGCGCTGTATAGTCCCGGGCCTGTAGTGATACCGACTTCACTCTAAAATGAAAACTAACAATAAGAAATATGACCCAAAAACAGATTCTGTAATACTGGTACGAGTCATGATCTTCTATATGCCACATGAAATATGAATGTAAGCATATTAAAGTAAAAAACGCACAAGTGACTGGCAAACTAGAGCTTAGAACACTATTCTGCAGACTATGCACCAGCTCTTCCTGTGACTATATTATTATCTATCTATCAAAGATGTCTGTGTTTATGTTCGACCATCACGCGTCGCTGCCGCAATCTACCCCGACATGAGGTATCGTATTAACTAGCATGATCCCGTGAAATTTTTACGCCATCGAATTTTAGGCCCCGGGCGAATAACGCTTCGTCGCCTCGCTCGACCCCACCTGTGGTATCAAATTAACCAGCATGACCCCGTGAATGTTTTAGGGCCCGGTCGAATTTGGGCCCGGGGCGAATTTAGGACTTGAGAGATTTTGGTCACTGGCAAATTTTGGGCTCCTGGTGAATTTGGGTCCGGGCAATTGGTCCCCGGGCGAATTGGGTCCAGACGGATTTGGGTCAAGGGCAGGAATGAATTTGGGTCCCTGATGAATTTGGACCTCGGGCGAATTGGGTCGGGACGAATTTTGGCCATGGGCGAATTGGGTCCAGACGAATTTGGGCCCTGGGCAAATTTGAGCCAGAAATGAATTTGGGTCCCTGGTGAATTTGGGCCTCAGGCGAATTTGGGCCCCGGGCGAAACCGGGTATTCAAATAAAACATCCGTGTGATCTAGTTAAGTCCTTCATTAATATATTATGTCTATATTCAGGTTGTTCATTTGATTTACAGACACACTATGCGAATTATATCCATATCAACATTTCTGCTTGATAATTATAACCCATGGCTTCGATCTAGCCAGCTAAATGTCGACTTCAACTTTCAACATCATTATGATAAAACAATCAGCATTTTGATCAAAAGTCAACATCAGTTTCAAATGTTTGTTAAATATCCGATCAGTAAGAATGATTTCTGAATAACAACTGGTGACTATTTTCAATATAAAAAGGGGAAGCAAGATTGAAGTCGTCACTTTGCTATGAATGGGTTTACAGCACGAAGTTGTGTCACTTTCGCGCTTTCCAGTTCTTGCCTTCGCACTATTACCTTATAGCGGAGCGACGCCACCATGGGCGAGCTTTTTGGCCTTTGTACCCACCGTTCGCTATGGGTCTATAACCAGAAGACGAAGTCGAATTTATCTTTTGTCGTTTCTTTTGTAAAATCCATAACTATTGCTCGCTGAGTGGACTTTCAATTGAATGGTACTTTATGGCCGATGTCGTTATATTTTGTTTTTAACATTTCAAACAGTCAGCATGGTGTAAAACAGATTTTAAAGATAACAGACAGCTTATACAGACAGCTGATATACAAGTAATTTAATATGTATATATGTATACAGTGCAATAAATTAAAACAATTAATGATTATCGCGTTAATTAGTTCGTAAATCTACATGTGAAAATATTATACATGAGCTGCAAGATATTGTTTTTTATCTGCACTCGAAAGTTTCTGCTCGTGGACAAGTGTTCTGTTGGTGCCCAAGTGCTTTCTTGTGGATCATGGTGGACAATTGTTCTGTTGGTGGACCCTGGTGGACAAGTAAATCAGGCCAACATGTTTGACGTCAAACAATATCGCCGTCTACAAGGACTGGTCCTGCATCTACGACAATACATTCTCATCAGTATTCCTCTAAATATTCCTGTAGCTTTAAGGAAATAGATAAAATATAATACAATACATCCTCATCCGTATTCCTCTCAATATTCATGTAGCTTTAATTGTAGATAAATATTATACAATACATTCTCATCAGTATTCCTATTAGAGCTTTAAAGAAAGATACAAATAATACAATACACCCTATGAATATTCTCCCTAACCCTAACCTTAGTTAAAGGAAAGGTACAAATAATACTATGCACCCCTTGGGTTTTCCTGTAGCTTGAAGTCTAAAGAAAGGTGCGGATAATATAATTACAAACGAATAATAATGTTTTCTTCTATCTTTTTGTTTGGGAGTGTAGGAGTGCCCACTTGGTTCGAGACATACAGATTGGTGACATCGTTTGTAATGTATGTTACTCTTTATAAAGCGGCAGCCACGGTGGCTAAGTGGGTAAGACGCTGGCTCGCTAGTCTGGAGGTCACGTGTTCGATCCTGCATTGGCCGAGAAAGTTCATCGGGATTTTCCGACGTGGTTTGCCCTTGTCAGTGATGCAGAACGGAGGACCTGACAGGGACAGTTGTCTAGTCCTTCGGATGAGACGAAAAACCGAGTTCCCGTGGAATGCACGTAAAAGATCCCTTGGCAGTTGGAATTCGATATAAGAGTAGGCGATAGTGCCGCTGTCCGGGCAAAATTTCCCTCATAGCACACTGTATGGCGTATGCCCATCTTCATTAGCCCAGTATAGGAGCAGAACAGTAGGACGTTAAACCCCATTTCATTGCATTTCTTTATAAAGCTTTTCCCACATGTACATTTCGACAATGCATTCTCTTAATATTCATGAAACTTTATGAATAACACAATATTATTATGGCGTGTGTGGTGTTTGTTTTTGGTTTGGCGGGCATTTTGACGTGTATGGTGTTTTTCTTGGTTTGGCGGGCAAGTTGACATGAGGGCGCGTGTGGTGTTATTTTGGTTTGTCGAGTATGTTAGGATGTGTGTTGTAAGCTTTGTTTACGTTTTTGACGGTGGCGGCGTTGTGTAAATAATGACTCTCTTGAGTTTAATAGGCCTTTGGTGTGTAAATACGGACTCTCTTACGTTAACTAGGTCTTCGGTATCAAATGTGACTTAGAGATTTAAGAGTAGCAAAATACTGCATATCTGTTGATATTTACCCGTACATATTTTGAGTAAAGACGTTTATGTAGAGTTTATTGGCGGTTTCTAACGTTGGTAAGTTAAAAACAAAATTCAGACAGAACGAAAACAGTAATATAAAACAAAACTTACATTGCCTTTCTCCTTCGCTTAGGTCGTTAGTTACATATCCAGCCCCACGATACTGATCTTCCAATATATCACGATATTGGTCTTCCAGGATTTCAAGATGGTGTTGCTGGGTTAATCCATCATAAGGATCTTTCATGCGTCTACCGTTAGGATTCTGGTCCCGGATATTTAAAATAACTAATAAAATGAAACAAATAGTTGAGATGTTTTGTGAAGCCATTTTCTTTGATTTGAAGACGTCTGATATTTTAGATGTATTGCTATCAATGTTTTAATTAATACAGATAATGTTACAGTCTAAATAGTTAAGGTGGTTATAATTAGCGATAAAAAGCGATATGGGTACACACTAAAAACATGTTTCTGCAATATGTAAAAACATGAAATAAAATAGGATTTGATGTTAAATATTTTTGCAACAACGGAGCTAAAGGTGACAATGCAGTATTTTATCATGTGCTGTAAATGTCAAGATAGTTCTTTTAGCCTCTCACATTTTATGCAAAAACTAAGATACCGAGAATCTATTGAATAATAGCGTTGAATAAAAATACATTATATGTGCACACATCGAGAGAGAGAAATGGGGTTTAACGTCCACTCGACACAAACTAGTCATTTCGGGACTAACATATGGTTTAATTTTATTTCAATAATTCGCTTGCGCGAAGGGGTCCTTAGCAGTGGGAGGAAACCGGAGGACCCGGAGAAAACCCACGAGGTTGGACAGGCGACCCTAGTCCTTGTCACGTACAACCGGGGATTCGAAACCACGCCAGTCGACTCAATGACAGGTTCCAATTAGGAACTACACTGTAGACTTTTGAAGAACAGCACGTTTTGGGGGTTTTTTTGTCTCTCTAATATCGCCCATTTTCGTATAGTGGACACCAAAATAATAAGGAAAACAGATATTCTGATAAAGGGTGCTGGAACGAAAGAGGAACTTTAATAAATCCCCTCTGTGGTTGGTGTAAGTGTGACGTGGTAATTAATGTTTAGTGTGTGTGTATTTTTACTGTGTAATGCTGTTTATAGTGTAGTTCTGTATATTTACACACACTTGGGATGTTTTTTTCCTTTGATCTCCCATGCATGTTATGAAACATCCTCTGATGACGGCACAACAGGTTTTACGGACTGTACAAAGCAAAAAGACACAAACTCTTTCTTTTAACATTTTATTTACTTATTGTACAATGTCAAACGATTCGAACGACGAACTTTGCCAGGCCCATGTTACTTAGTTTATTCATCTGACCATTAAAAACTTGTCTGAAACTCAAATTTTGGATTGTGTAGTATATCCACATCAGTTTTATTCGTAATCCGTAAATGTGAAATTATTCCCATAACTAAATACAGAATTCGGTGGGTAATATTCATCATTTTATTTTGCTTACTTCCAAGACGTATCTAGACATCCCCCCCCCCCCCCAAAAAAAAAATAAAAATAAGATCTTATATACTCATATCTTCCAGCGCATATAGGATTTTTCGCTCACGGACGTCTTGTCACTCGAAATTGAAATGCGTGTATCATTTATATCTTCCTCAAAATCCGAGTACATTAAATCCTTGTTAAATATTTTCTGCATACATTCTGCACTTTGACTAGCTTTAAATAATTCTTTGTCAGAATCTACGTTTTCTTTTTCAACCATATTTTCTACAAACTGCCTTGTGCGCATCAGTTCGTCTTCCGAATCGTTTGACACTATTGCACAAAATGAATTCCAGTTTGTGAACACGTGGTTACTAATGCACGTGCAACTTACGACTGATATGGGCTAAACCATTGTCTTATAGGTGAAATCAATTAGGATTGATTTAACATTGATGTCGGTGTGTAAGACACATATTACCCTAATACCCTCGGTCGATATGTGAAATTTCACATATCAACCCTCGGTTAGGGTAATATTTATCTCATAAATGTACACTGTACCAGAAATTGTTTCACTACTTTCCCAGACTCTCCGATCATCGGTCTAGCGACCAACTCAGGCAACTGCATTACAATCGTGCACTTAGTCGACGGAATAAGTAAAAATACAATACAATAGTTATGATTGAAAATTAGATAGATGGTTGAATTGATCATCAAAACAGGAATATTTATCATTTCTGCCACATTCAGATCCACTGTTGAGACATTACTGGGAGAAATAAGCCATGTTAAGGATACTTGACATTATGTAATTTTACCCTTTCCCCTAACTTAAACGAAATGTATAACAATAAACTTTTAGTAATATACTGACAAGACCTTCTTGAATACATATAATAAACAATAAAATGAAATGAAATGGGGTTTAACGTCCTTCTGTTCGCTCCTAAACAGGGCTAATGATGACGGGCATACGCCATACAGTGTGTTATGAGGGAAATTTTGCCCGGGCAGCGGCGCTACGGCCTACTCTTATATCGAATTCCAACTGCCAAGGGATCTTTTACGTGCACGCCAATGTGAACACGGGACATGACAAATAGGACGTTAAAACCCACTACATGACGAATAGGACGTTAAAACATACTGCATGACAAATAGGACGTTAAAACCCACTACATGACGAATAGGACGTTAAAACATACTGCATGACAAATAGGACGTTAAAACCCACTACATGACGAATAGGACGTTAAAACATACTGCATGACAAATAGGACGTTAAACCCATTTACATTTAGTTTATATCTCATGACACATCATATTTGATACTGTTCGAAAACACGTATCGTTACTTTAATTAATTAAAATATATATTTATAATATTACCTAAACAGCCGATGGATTATTTATTTACATCACTTTCACAAGTATATCTCATTTTTTTCAAATTTGGTGTGAACCTTTGCCTTCATGATAGGCAAACTCTATTGATATTCCGAGTTCCGCAACCTAAGCTTCCGTAGTAATACCTCTTTTTTTTCTGAAACCTTGATAATGCTATAGAGGCTACAATCTTTTTCCAGTCTGGTCCGAAACATAGGTGTTATTCTCTGTATGTATTTAATTGTTCAGTGGGGAGGTAGGGGGGTGCGGTCGTCTAACACATGCGCTTTAGATCATAAGGTATATCATCGTGTCAAGTGTTTCGAACTTGCTTGTATGTGACAAAGAGTAGCGTTGCCTTCCCCAAAACCTCATGGGTTTTCTCCGCACCTTTCCACTGCTAAACACCACTACGCGCAAAGTGATAATTAAAACGCAAGTGTTAAGTAGACTTTAAATCCCATTACCCCTCCCCTCTCTCTCTCTCTCTCTCTCTCTCTCTCAGTGCGTCAAGTTGAAATCCTGGAACAGCATTGTTCATGTGTGTCCACCACTGCTCTTGTTTATTGCCAATATTTGTGTAAATAACACTGTAAGAAAACTAAAACATGGTTTAATATATATTATATTAATATTCGCTATTAAAGATCAATAGTTTACAAATCATGTTTTCTACAGTGCACATACTATTTATAAGTATAACTTTCTGTGCAATCATCAAAATGAAAAGTCTTGTTAGAGTAGAAATGGGAGTAGAAATCAGGTTACCAGTCTGGCATTTTGGGTATGATACAAATTGTGGGCATAAGTACCAAATAGTCTTTTCAGATAAAACAGTTACTTACCGGATTATTTCATGATGAAATGTTGTGATGAATAATATTTCGTAACTATCTGTAGTGTTAATGTAAAGTGCGAGGAAGTATACTGTCTAGTACAATACAGTGTAGCAATCAGGATTATTGACTTGGATGAATATAAAATCGATTAAGATATGTATCTAGTTTATTATAAGTGAATGTGCCTCTGTTTGTTTCTTTGGTTATTACACAATAAAAAATGTGTGATAAAAGTTCTGTAATAAGAAAAGCAAACAATCAAACTGTGGTAGAAATTAAGCATGAATATAACACAATGAAGCATCGTCTGAAGACTATAATTAACATATGATGCAGAAAAACCTTCAATGTGCCAATCTTTCATAACTGATGAATTACAAAACTTCAAGATGAAGTGAGGCCAAACATATTACAATAGGTATTACATTTGTGATAGTCCAGGGAGTTATTAATAGCTGCAGAGGAAATATTTCCAAGACAGAATAACACATTTTCACCTTCATCACCAGCTGATGTTAGCTTTGAGCTTGCAATTTCTTGATCATACAAAGAAATACCAGAGCCTTGAATATCCAAAACCATTAGATTTTTTTGTGTGTTATATATGAATAGTGTGCAAAGCATTCAGCCTTTAGGGTACACTGGTTTGGGTTGGAAAAAATAATTGTGCCATTGCTGTTGATTTATTTTATAATTTTTAAATTCGCCGGTATCTGCCCCCCCCCCCCCCAACATGTTGTATGTAAAACTTTCTCCGAATTATGGGGGGGGGGGGGCAATGAACACTTACTTTTTGGGCGAGGTGCTGTGAGGAAGGGGGGTGTGCATTTGCACAGATTTTCTGGTATGCAACTCAATTGACCCAAATACAACAGTGATGTCTGAAATTTTAATAGCCAGGGATTTCTTGATTACATATTTTTTCTCAGGACTAAGCCCATCTAAAGCTTTACGTCCCCCCACCTCCCCACCTGTGCAAACAGAGTCTTGCATACAGAAAATCTCATTAGACGGGGATCTGACCATTTCTGCTTTTCTATTAGAAACTCCTCTAGTTTTGAGGACGTATAACCTTCCCTAAATTTAGCATTGAACCCAATGACAGTGATTTGGGGTAACCGGTGTTAGTGGTTGTTGATGTTGAAACTGGAGGAATTGTAATGCTGTGATTGTGTTTACTAGAGTCACCCTGAACAAGTGGAAGAGGATTTTGCATTGGAATTTCAGACTTAATAGACTGATCTTCAAAAAACCTTGCGTGTAATAACTAGGAGTTTTTAATTTGAGAAATATCAGTGTACGATGGTCCCCTTTCTCCTGCCATAATATCGTAAGACATTGTTTGCGCAACAGAAAAAGGGCGCTTACAGGCTTCTTTATGGAATTTAAAGTCCCATCACCCTCAAATGGGACAAATGTTAAGGGCCCTATTCTAGAATATGTTTGGCATCTGCCTTCAACATTTGAGGGCAGCCGTTGCACTGTTAAATATTCATTTACATCCGTCCCTTTTTTTTTTACCCTCGGCCACATGCTTATTTCCCTGTCGTCCCCCCCCCCAACGGCTGCTTTAAAGGGACAATAACACTCTTGCTGGCTTGACAGCTCCAGAAAATAAATAAGTACTAGATGTTTAAGTGTCCTACCTGTTGTGTAAATTGCATCCTATTTTACTTGTCCAGAGGATTCAAAAATATTTTTAAATCCAAGTCACATTTGAAAAAGTTTACGTTAGGCTTTTCAAATCATTTAGTTGAATTTTTCCAATTTTTTAAATTAGGTGGGTTAAGATGAAATTTGTATTATCAATTAATTGGAATAGGCTAAAGGGACCGTAATAAGGCTGAACATCTGTGGCGGAAAACAAATCTACTTCACCATAAACAGATTTATAAATCTTTAAAAAAAACAATGTGAATAAATAAATTGAAGACGCTAAAATTAAATTTTACTCTGATAAAATAGACAAAAATACCCGTATAAAGTTATGAATTCTCTTTTGGATCATAATGCTGAGCGGACTATTCTCCCGGACAATGATAATGATAAAACTATTGACTTTCACACTCATGATTTCGATAAGTTAGAACATTCTGTTTATTTAGAAAATTTTAACTTGGTTAGTGAATCTTTTGGTTTAAAGTTAACTAAATCGTCTGCTCCCAAATCTTGTTCATTAGATCCTGTTCCAACTCCTGTTCTGAAGGGCTGTCTAGACGAAGTTATTCCAGTTTTTACCAATATTATTAATTCTTGTATATCATCCTCTACTATTCCCAACGTTTTCAAACAAGCTTATGTTACCCCTTTAATTAAAAAATCTACACTGGGTCCTAATGGTTTTAAAAATAACAGACCTGTCTCTAACTTAGGTTTTATTTATAAAATATTAGAGAGAAATGTATTGCTTCTCAGATAAAGGCCCATCTAGATGATAACTGTTTGTATGAACTATTTCAAAGTGTTTATAAACAATTTCACAGTACCGAAACAGCTTTAACCCGGGTTTCTAATGATATTTTAATGGAAATTGATAATAGAAAATGTACATTTTTAATTTTATTAGATTTATCTGCTGCTTTCGACACGGTGGATCCTTCCATTCTCATATGTGGACTTTTCGGTATTTGTGGCTCTGCATTTAATCGTTTAGAAAGCTATCTTGTGGGTAGAAAGCAGTGTATTTTAGTTAATTGTAAATCGTCGTCTGAATCTGTTTTGTCATCTGGGGTTCCCCAAGGTCCGATTTTATTTACTCTCTATACGTCACCATTAGGTGATATTGTCAGAAAATATGGTCTCCGCATTCATTTGTATGCTGATGATACTGAAGTATATATTTCATTTACACCTAATTGTCACATTATAAACCCCCTGTTGTAATTGGTAATTGTAATATATTTTCATCTTATTCTGCTCGTAATATTGGTGCAATCGCTGATAGTTTTATGCTTATGGGAGCTCAAGTAAATACTATTTGTAAATTGTTTTATTTTAATATCAGAAATATAGGTAAAATACGTAGATTTGTAACTGTAGAGGCCACCAAGTCACTTGTTAATTTTCCGGTCACTTCTCGATTCGATAACTTTAATTCACGTTTAGTTAGTTTACCTTTAAAGTTTATAGATAAATTACAAAAAGTACAGAATACTGCAGCTAGACTTGTTACTTTAACTAAGAAATGTGACAACATAACTCCTGTTTTATATAATTTAAGAAATGTGACCACACAACTCCTGTTTTATATAATTTACACTGGTTACCTGTTAAATATCGAATTGATTTTAAGAGTTTATTACTGACTTTTAAATAATTTAGCTCCTGTTTACCTCTCAGATCTTTTAGAACTTTATACACCTGGCCGAACATTACGTACATCAGATAAACTACTTTTAAAGCCCAAAACTGTTCAACTAGTCTCTTATGTTCAGCGCTCTTATGAAATAATCTACCATTTAGTTTAAGATGTTGTACATCCCTATATTCTTTTAAAAAAAACAACTTAAAACACTTTTATTTAACCAGGCTTTTAGTTTTAACTGACTCTGTATACAATCGTTAACATGTCAATAATCTTGTTGTGTATTTATAATTACATTGTCACTTGATTACATGTATATGAAATGGCGCACTATAAAAATGCTGTAATAATAATTATCTTCTCCATTCTGCCTCCATTTGCCAATTCAGCGAATCACGCTGAAGATCAATTCGACAGACAACATAAACATATTCGATCTTTAATTGAGCGCGTATATTAGTCATTTTGAGACGTTTGACTGTTTAATCGTGTTTTCTAGTGTTGAATGATAAAATTATGTCCTCGAGTTTACACAACGTGATCCAGAAAATCTAAAAATAGTCCATAGTTTTTATACTATTGGTATTGGTCGCCCAACGATATATCTGTGCGGCCAACCAACCTGACGCTGACAATCAGTATCAGAGTTTCTAAGCAACCCCCCTCCGACCCAGAAATCTAACAATATGCAGATGGCCCTGCTCCGACAATTAACGCTAGTGACAAATATATTTTAAAAACAAACATTGTTCAAATATTGCGTAAATTAAAACCAAAAGATAGCAATATAAATAATATTCAACGTTAGCCATTAAAATCAATAATAAAATATTATGATGTCTGGCAGGAGAAAAGAATAACATGTGTTATTATTGATAAATGGATTTCTGGCTAAATGCAACATTTCAAATAATATAGATCATTAAACATTAGATAGCAGATTCAAAGTACCTATTTAACCTTAAAATATTGAATTGATCGTTAAGTATGATACCGGTGACAACACATTTCTATACACATTCCTGGGATAAAAAAAAACAACTTGCAGCCGAGTCATCGGCTGGTGTAATATATAATTTAATGTTAAATTATACACCAGAGAACTAATTCAAAAAGTAATATCAGTAGCAATACAGTCAAATTGCAGATATAACAATATCGCTATATCAACTAAACGCAGCTTTCAGAATATTAGTCAAAAGAAATCTAAGAAAATTCTAAACGTATCGACTAATTTACAAGATACTTGACGATGAACTACAACACATCAACAATGTCCTCATAGAATACAATAACTACCCTGAAAATAAAGTTAATTTTTATTATTATTGAAACTGCACCTTATTCTGACATACGTTCATCATGGTCGCTGATATCTCTATCAATATGTACGATGTCGGTATCAACAACACTAACCGAATCTATAATCAAAATAGGATCAAGTAAAGAAAAAGTATCTGTGCGGTTATCAAAGTGCGTAGGACTCTTTATAATATTAACAAGACCATTGACGAGAACAATATCCTTTATGTTTGTAGGTATATTAGTCATAAAATTTATATTCAAGTCGCCCAAACATATAATATTAATATTCTCGTCAAATGCTCTCTTTAACATAAAATGGAAATACTGCCATTAAAATGCTGGTGTTTGTCTCACTGACCTATAATTTATATTGATCAATACAGACTGTAGCTTTGTCTTCAAGTTGAAACCAAATACACTCAGATATTTCGTCATGTTCCAAATCTGTTCTGGACAAAATTAACAAGGCTTTTAAAATAACAAATAATACCATCACCGCTAGAGATCCTATTCTTAATGGGAACCCCAAACCCTGCCAAGCCAATGTCAGCATCACTTATACTGTTATCTAGATGCGTTTCCGTAAAAAAACAATATCGAAATCTTCGAGTGTGTCTATTACATGGTTAGGTTTGTTTCGTAAACTTCGAATATTCGCATGAAAAATGGGTAATGTATTTACATCAGAAGCTGGTGTGTCCTGGGCATCGGGGTTTAATTCTATATCATTACAAACAATCAGTAAGATAAATATAACAAGATGCTCCAATCAGAATTAGGGCTTGTAGATGATAAACATAAAATATTTCGTTATAACGAATTAATATTTCGTTAGAACGAAAAAATTATATAAGGGTGGAATTGTTCACTATATAATTATATAAGAGTGGACTCGTGGCACATCGTGTTATGGTCGAGATGACTTTCAGACTGCATTTCACGACTAACTTTGGTCCTTATGGTATTCGGAATAGGTATAAACACAAAAATTGGGCGTAGGTCTACCACTGGGGGCCAGGACACGCATCAAAAGCAATAGTCCTTAGGCTACAAGGATGGGGTGTAAGAAGATGCTCCAATCAGAATTAGGACTTGTAGACGACAAACTTATAATATTTCGTTATAACGAATTAATATTTCGTTAGACCGAATAAATTATATAAGGGTGGAATTGTTCACTATATCAGTATATAAGAGTGGAATCGTGTTTCGGTCGAGCTGGTGACTTTCAGACTGCATTTCATGACTATATCTTTAAAATATTATTAATAAATTATTATAGCTGAACAATTTGAAATAATCTATAAAAAAATAAAAATATTAATAACGTGTTTATTCACATAACACTATTTACTTCAGCTAAAATAAACCAATTTCTAACTAAAAAGCTGTTGCCATGTATTTTGTTTTAAAATAAACGACAACTACAATAATCTATACTTGCTGTTGACTCCAGGTTGAAGATTCATCAAGATGTTTCCTTTGTGGTTGATTACTGTTGCTATTGTGGTTGCTTCCATGTTGCCAAGCTTTGCTGCGAGTATGTATTACTATTTCAAAGTTTTTCTTTGATTTCTTTAAGACCATAATATACTATTCAAAAAAAGTAGGGGATATTTGATTTTGGGGGCATAATACTAAAATATGCAAATGACTACGAAAAAAGTCACTATAGAACCTAACAGAAGAAACATTTCCAGTTACATGTGACGCCCAAACGCACCAATAGCTACCGCATGGAATGCAGGTGATGCTTGGGATCATCATGGGGGTCCAACCCAAGATTTGCACGACTCTGACTTTGAATGTTACAGTCATTGTGGCATTGAATTCCAGGGTGGAAACATCAGTTTAATTGTTTTAGTGACCAGAAAACAAATTTTGATATGCGTCGGCTTACCCAAAATGAAAGGTTACGTGCCCTTGGCATGCTACAGATCGGCACAACACAGGCGGTTGTGGCGCGGACGATGAATGTTTCTCAGTCTGTCATAAGCAGGCTATGGTCCAGATACCGTGATACACAATCTGTACAGGACAGACCACGCTCAGGTCGACCAAGGGCGACAACTCAAGCCCAGGATCGATTTATCCGTACCTTGGCCTTGAGAAATCGTGTCATCACAGCAAGTCAGATCAGCGCTCGTCTTCAAACAGACACTGGTGTGAGAGTGAGTGGCCAGACGATTCGGAATCGACTGCATAGGGGTCACCTTCGCGCCCGACGTCCTCGCGTGATCCCTTGTTTGAGAGATCATCACATTCAGGCAAGACGTCGTTGGTGTAGGGATCGTCAACACTGGGATAATCGACGCTGGAGCAATGTGATGTTTTCAGATGAGTCAAGGTTCACTGTTGATTTTTTGGACAGACGTAGGAGGGTGTGGCGTCGTCGAAACGAGCGCTTCCAAGACGTTAACGTCATCAGACATGATCGATTTGGGGGTGGTTCTGTTATGGTGTGGGGAGGCATCACTGTTGCTGGAAGAACGGCTTTACATGTTGTTGCAGGGCGTGTTACAGGCCAGTACTACCGGGACAACATCTTGGCAGTCCATGTTGTGCCGTTCGCACGACGTCATGGCCGCCGTTTCATCTTCCAGGATGACAACGCAAGATGTCACAGGGCCAGGATCGTTACAGGTTACCTCCAACAACAGAACATCACCACATTACCTTGGCCAGCACTGAGTCCCGACCTCTCCCCCATCGAGCATGTCTGGGACATGCTTTGACAGAGGTTACGTCAACGTCAACAACGTCCTGCCAATGTCCAAGAACTTGCTGCTGCGTTGCAACAGGAATGGGACAATCTGGACCAAAATGACCTTAGACGTCTCATTAGGAGTATGCCACGTCGGATCAATGCTTGTTTGGCAAACAGAGGAGGATTTACCCGTTACTGACTTGGTTGTGATGCTGTGGTAACTTTGCTGTTTGACCCCGGGTATCATTTTACCCTTATAATGGTCAGTCTGTGCCTTACTTAGTCTAACGATCATTTGGAATAAATCGATGAATGTGAACTTCATTTCATTTTGTCATTTGTTTCTTCGTCAGTTTCATTAGGTGACTTTAATAACACTTAAAAATCAAATATCCCCTACTTTTTTTGAATAGTATATTTATAATTGCCATAAAACTAAATTGTGACATTTGGATATAGAAAATTAATATGCATTGTTTGTCTTAATTGTATTTTATTGCAATCTTCATATGTATGAAGCAGTTGATGTTTCTTCATGTACGGTTAACATCTTGAATGTAACCTGCAAGTCTGAAGATCCACCGTGGATTTCTTTCTTACGTTCTTCTCTTTAGATTCTTTTCCTTCCGTACAAGTGAAATTATACATAAAAAATAGTTTATTAGAACGAGTAACCCAAAGTAGAATAATTAAAAATGAAGTTTTAATGATATAGGTACAGTACCTTTTGAATTATTTCACATTCAGAGTATTCGTTTTATCTGAGACACACTATATTTGGCAATATTCATATAATAAGACATGAGTAAGGCCTTAGCAAAGTTACAGAACAAGACATAAAATAATATAAAATAAAAAAAATAAAATTCCTGATAATTAAAATAGTTTATAATAATATTTTCATGTATCCAATTTTATTATCAAACCGAACTATACATGGTTTATAGTAATTTGAATCGTTTAACATTCCTTGAATATTGTCATGTCTCCTCAAATGAAACAGTGAGTACCCCTGTGTTGATCTGTTGGCTGTGGAGAAACCGTTGAGGGAAACTTGAGAGACTTAAACGTCTGGTAGACTCCTATGATTAAACGGTGGAAAGTAAATTGGCAGGTGATAATCCATGAATGAACTTGGGCTGAAAACAAGATAACAAACACGGCCTTCATCATGGCGAAGTTGTCTTGCAATTAGAATGTTTTGAGACGGAATTGAAGTAAACGTTTGCGAGATAAATTTGTTTTAATATGTTTTAGTCCAAATATATCATCAAATCTCAGTGTGTACTCTGGAAGGCATCTTTAGTGAGAGATCTTCAGTTCTTAAGAAAGATGTAAATTGTATGGAGGTTCCTTTTTTTCCACTAACACATATGACTCGTCTCAGTTTTCAGAAATAAAAAAGGACTGACCTGTTGGTTATAATACTATGATAAAATCGAAATAACTTAATAGTTTTAGTGTAAATTGCCATTGAAAGGAACGCCTTACTTGATATCAGCTATCTAAGATATTTTATCAAAGAAATAACTAAAAATATCCAATATTCTATCTGGCTTTACGAACGTCAAAACGTTCAAACTTTTAAGAAGACGATCAAGTCGATTAGACACTCAAAACTTGTCAAATTTTGTGCATGGGCGCCACAAATTTTTGTGTTCTTTGACAGCTACAGGTTGATAAATGTAGTCCCTGGCCACGTAGGCTAGTAAACAACATATACTGCATGATCAGATGTTGTGATGAACACGAATGAGAGACCTCACATATTGTCCATGGTGCAATGATTTTAATCGGGAATATATCACATATCTAAATAATTGTTTATTTACGATATTACTAATATCAATTATTTTACAGCGGGAGTATGTAACGTGACCGAGTGTAGGAATAGAAGAGGAAAGTGTATCGTATTTACATGTAAGACCGATGGTAAGATACCTACTGTGTGAACTGTGATAAATAATAAACGGATTTCTTCGATTATGAACAAACTACTATACTTTGGTTATTATAAACTTACCTGTGTGTTTGAAATTACCTCCGGTTATATAAAATCCATTGTACAACTATATGTCCTAGCGAATAAAAAAGTTCTCTCTTGTAAAATTGAACCCATCACAAACTTTGACACCGAGAAATAACCAAAATGGAAGCTAATTACGTCACTTATCGGGATATATCATTTCGTATAGGGGGGTCAAAGCACGGCTTGTCTGTCGTAACGGTTGTGTATGAATAAGCTATTCCTCTCGGAACCTAGTAATGAGTTTGGGCGTTTAAAAACATAAATACGCCTGTAGTCCGGTATTTTGTTTCCCTCTTGTATTATAATTATTTGGTTAGAGAGTTTGGTGGGATTATTTCTTTTGAACTATATTTGAATTAATTTCACCCTTGAATATTTTTATACGCCCACATTTTCATGTGGACGTATTATGCCGTCGCCCCTGTCCGTCCGTTCACAATTCTTATCCGATTTTGACGAAACTTGAAATATAGGTTTATCCCCAAAAGATCTCGGCTGCTTTCAATATTGGCATGTATCGGATCGAAACTTCATGGATTATGGCCCCTGATGTTACGAAAAATCACGTTTTTAGCTTGTGGACCCTATAGAGGTCCCAATTTTTATCCGATTTTGTTGAAACTTGAAATGTAAGTTTATAACCCAAAGATCACGGTTTCTGTCGATATTCGCGCATATCGGACCGTAACTTCCTGAATTATGGTCAATGATTGTACGACAAATCGCGTTTTTAGCTTGTGGACCCTATAGAGGTCATAATTTTTATCCGATTTAAAAAAAAACGTATTATTATATCACCGTTACACCCTAAGGACGGCTGAGTTCGAATTTCGTGAAAATCGGCCCAAAACTGACTGACAAAATGGCCGCCCTTCCTTCTCAAATAGCGTAAAAATATGGTATATCAAGGCTGTGGACCCTATAGAGGTCACAATTTTAATCCGATTTTGTTGAAACTTGAAATGTAAGTTTATAACACAAAGATCTCGGTTCCTTTTGATATTTGCGCATATCGAATTGTAATTTCCTGAATTATGACCCTTGATTGTAGGAAAAATCACTTTCTTTTTAGCTTGTTCTCTATCCATCTCTCGAAAATGTGGGCGTATCCTGCCTGGCAGCCGCTTGTTAATATTTCCTGATGAACTTAAGCAGTCCTGTCAATCAACCTCAGCAATCTGCTGTAGCCGAGGTAAATGCCGATGTATTTTACATTTGCCTAGACAACATTAATAGCCGAGCCCATTGAACCATTGAATAGGTATAGGCCTATAACGTTACTTTTGTTTTATATAAATACCAAAAATTATTACCAACAATTAATCATACCGCACAACGGATCAATTATTGGCAGATAGTTCAGTTTCTTTCTATTTCGCTCTGAATATTATTTCCGGTGTGCAAAAACTGTTTAGAAAAATTTATAATCGTACGTGATCGGTTACACAATTATATTGTAAATTCCCGGATTTGTTTTGAAATTCACAAGGCAATGTATCCAATATACAATTATATATACAGGGGTGAAAAACAATATTATATTTACGAGTATTCGTATAATTGGTGATATATTCATTGTGAATAAAATTTAGTAGACTGACAATCAATTGTTTCCAAATCAATGTCTTTGCCTCAGTTGCTATTGTGTTGCCCAAACTCAAAAACTCGAAACGGTCGTGCGCTGTTGTGATTACAACACACGTGATTCATCCTTTACCCCCCTTCAACATATTATGATGGTTTAGCTCATGACGTGACATGTGTAATGTTGTGATGGACACTGTCAAAAATACAAGCAAAAACATTGACTTTTCAAGAGAGAACTTTTGTTTTGGTTTGGATATTTAATTGTGCAATGGATTTTAGTCAACCGGAGGTGATTTCAAACACATAAGCAAGTTTTTAATAAAAATTATTCAGTAGTTTGTTCACAATCGAAGAAATCCGTTTATAATTTACCATGGTTCACACAGTAGTCTTCTATCAGCTATATTTATTACCAATCCAGTTATTATCCACTCAAATAACTATGATCTTGACATTTACGGATAAAATTAAAATTCCATCATATAATCTGTGGATTAATCTACAAATTAAGTAGACATATTCTGTGCATTGCTTAGTCAAATTTCAAATAATCATTTTTTTAAAAGGGGGATCACGTGGCTAAGTGGGTAAGACGCTAGCTCGCTAGCCTGGAGGTTGGGTGTTCGATCCCTGCATTGGCCGAGAAAGTTCATCCAGATTTTCCAGCGTGGTTCTCCCTTGTCAGTGATGCAGGACGGAGGGGCTGACAAGGTAAGCTGTCTAGTCATTCGGATGGGACGAAAAACCGAGGTCCCGTGTACACATTGGCGTGCACGTAAAAGATCCCATGGCAGTTGGAATTCGATATAAGAGTAGGCCGTAGTGCCGCTGTCCGGGCAAAATTTCCCTCATAGCACACTGTATGGCGTATGCCCGTCTTTATTAGCCCGGGTTAGGAGCAGAACAGTAGGACGTTAAACCCCATTTCATTTCATTTCATTTTTAAAATGGCTAAATAGTTAAAGAAGTATATCGTTAAAAGTATTGTTCCTCCACTTAAATATGTAATTTGTCAATATTGTTCCTCCACTTAAATATGTAATTTGTCAATCTACTAACCTTTGTAACATGGTGTATTTTTCAGGTAACGATTGTGGAAGTAAAGGATGTGATGCACTAAACGAAGTTTGTGTTAATGATATTTGTGTAAACAGAAGTAAGTGTAACATGTTACTAGTTTGTTAATTAATGTAAATACAAACATTAGACCATAACCCTCTACTTTACAAACAGTTGAAATTTAAACTCAAGTTCAAACGATCATCTGTTATAATAAAAGTAATGAAACCGTCTCGGTAATACTTGTATCAAACCCGTTAAAATGGTTATTTCAGAAATTCATTACTGTCAAAACATTTTCAAGACGTAATAAAAGACAGGGGGTGTCCATCTTTAATATGTCGATCACATCAGTTTCAACACAATCCATAAACTCCTGAAAACAGGGGGTAACCATCTTTAATATGTTGATCACATCAGTTTCAACACAATCCATGAACTCTTGAAAACAGAGGGTGGCCATCTTTAATATGTTGATCACATCAGTTTCAACACAATCTATGAACTCCTGTAAGACACAATCAGCACCCACAAATGGTTAACCGACATGTCATAATATGTTAATATGGCGTTCTATTTATAAACTCTATTATATATATGTTTATATTTCAGGTGAAACTTGTGGTCACATAGATGGCATATTAAATCTGTGTCCTTATCAGGGTATGTTGTTTATTTTAATTACTTACAATATTATTTAATTTGACAATATCTAGTTGAGCTACAATCATATATTACTTGCAAGGGTTATATCCATGTTTTGGTCTAGGATTGAGAAACTATAAATAAATCAGACACCTATTGTAAAAGCGTCCAGCAATCTAAAAGTAAATATGTTTCAGGTGTAAAATGTGGGAAAGGATTCTGTCCTGGTAATTTTGGTTTAGATAGTAAATGTGTAAAAAAAAAGTGCAGGAGTAAGTATAATATACATATATGTTATTCATAACACGTTTATTTCTATAATTAATGATGTTCTACCTGATCATTTGTCTGTACTTAGCAGGATATACTTAATGTCTTAACAAGAGGAACACCTGGTAACACTATCCTATTTTAAATGATTTGTAAGATTTTTATCAACCTGGTCATATTATTCTTTTATCTTATCGAAGTAATCTTAAAGACAATTCTATATTGTAAATTATATTTATTATAGCTAAATTTCGCTGTGTTGGGCAGAGTGATGACACTCCCTGCATGTCACTGAGTATTAGTGGCACTTGTTCGGGTGGTGTTTGTCTCGGTAAATATGATTTATATTTTAGGCATTTATTCCCGGTGCATTTATTTATAGATACTATTTCTAGAAATATGTAAATGTAACTCATTTCTATTAGCTTGTTACGATTACAACTGTCGGGGATATGATCATCATGCACCTGATAGCCAGTTTTCAAATATTAATTCAAAAATTATCGGTCTGTTCTGACTATCACTGTAAGATCAATAATAAACATTATATAACATTATATAAGAACAACAGTTTGTAATCAGAGTATTGACCAATATTTGACTTGAACTATTTTCACCTGATCTATATTCAGATATAGAGGGTTGGATTGCACATGCTGTAGATTATCAGCTATCTATGCAAGTAGTTATTGCTTCCACTTCTACATCTGTTGATACATAGTTAGATATTATTGATAGATAGTTAGATATTGTCATATGTAATAATATATTATTTATTTTTATAGAAAATTGTGATGAAGACAGTGAATGCCGTGGTTTTGCATGTGTTGGTGGATTCTGTGCAGGTAAATAATGACTATTTTATTTATAATCACCTATCAATATCACCTGATTTGTATATATAAACACGTTTAACCTCTTTATTTGGATAAGATAAAAAAAATTCAAGCACCCTTCTTTATGACGACAAACAATAATAGTCCTTTGACCCCGAATATCTCGAACACGCCCCAACGGCGGATTGATTATCATACGGCAGGCATCGTATTCTACGCAAAATTTCACTATAGAAATGTCGGGCCTGGTTTTGTGCCCATTTGATGCCCCCCCCCCCCACTGAGCCCCCGGTCCATAAGTTATGACTTTGAGTATATTCATTTAATAATATAGGTGTACCAAAGGTTTAAATTGTCTTTTTACAAACATTCATTACTTTAATGTATTTGGTACAAATCATAGTGGGTGCATGATCCACTTCACAAACATTTGGATAGGGTTTAGCATCTTGTTATAAGACAACGCAGAATCTTATCTTTTTTACATCTAGTGAACTCAAATCAGAGAGACTTAAGATAGAACACAATGACGTAATCAGAGAGACTTAAGATAGAACACAATGACGTAATAACATGGCATGTTGTTTGTGAGTAAACTCATACATAAACTCTCTGGTGATCTCAGGGATTATTCGGCCATCTTACCAAGATAGCGTTGTCAATCACCCATTTCAATCCATTAAAAATAATTAATTTACTTGTTTAACTTTATGTTGTAAAACAAACATATTGCTTTTCCCACGAATCTTATTTTCTTACATACATTAATTTTCTGACTTGTGTATTGATAATATATAAACCATGTTTTGTATTTTGCAGCACCTAAATGTGGACAATCAATTTGCAATTTAAGCTAGTTGATGATATGCTATATCCACAGTATAATGAACAACTATTATTATATTCAATACAATAAATTGTCATATTTAACCACTGATATAAAGTTTAATATAATAAACTATATTGTAATATTTAATCATTTCTTTAAAATAAATGAATGCAATTTAGGTCTTTGTTTATAAATTATAATTCTAAGCCAACAATATATTCATCTAAACCAAAAATTACAATATATTCATAGTATTTCTTCATAACCATCAGATAAACCAAGATTTTAAAATGTAACCCAGATTGAAAAATAAATAGTTTGTTCTTTGTTTGTTGTTTATTTTGTTTACCTCGTGTTGCTGTGTTTGTCAGTCATCCATGTTATCTTCCTTGTTAACCCTAACGGAAAAGCAGCTGCCAGGGCTGTTCTCAATAATAATAGCTGCTTGGAATATCTGGGTGAGCTCTGCCCAGCCTCGCTCAACACCCTGTTTTATAACCCCTTAATTTCTGCACGTCTTAGATTTAGCCTTTGCGTTAATTTACATCCCAAATATGGAATAAACCTCTTTATTTCACAAGGTCAGGGGTTGAAACAAGATAGAATTTGATGGATATTTTGACAATGAAATAAAATTGCACCATGTGTTAGTCCCGAAAAGAGCTAGTTTGTGTCAAGTGGACGTTAAACCCTCTCCCTCACATTTTAAACCTTGTTCCAATGTCGCACATTGCTTTAACGTTTTATCAACGTTTTGTAAGTGGAACGCTTTCCACCACAGATGAAGCGACATGTGCTTGCTCGAAAACATGTATGAGGATCACCAAGGAGAGAGAGAGAGAAATGGGATTTAACGTCCACTCGACACAAACTAGATCAATAATTCGCTTTCGCGTAGGGGTCTTTAGCAGTGGGAGGAAACCGGAGGACCCGGCGAAAACCCACGAGGTTGGGCAGGCGACCCTACTCCTTGTCACGTACAACCGCTCGAAACCCCGCCAGTTGATTCAATGACAGACCGTGTGATACAGCGCGGGAACGGGCTAACCGTTCGGGGGGGGGGGCAGTAGTAAAAAAAACATCATACGTCAAGTCGAAAAATATGCACTGGACCTGGGTAGACCACCCACCCATTAAAATCTTGCGTAAAAAAATATGCACCATCATTTTTAAGAAAGACCACCCTAAAATCTTGCGCAATAAAATGTGTTCTTCACAGTTGCTTAATTGACCACCCAAAAATCATGCGCAAGAAAATATGTTCCTCACAGTTGCTTATTAGACCACCCTAAAATCTTGTGCAAGAGAATGTGTTTCTTGAAATATCTCATTTTAGACCAAAAGTATGTGCAATTAGTATGCACAGATAATTCTTTATATATAAAAAGACAGAACTTCTTTTTTGAGTGTTATTAAAGTATTCTTATTGTTGTAGCATTGTAAATGTGCTAATTTTCTTATATTTTTTTAAACTTTTTACACGTTTTTGCTTAAAAATGTGGTATGTGTTTTCTTGAAAATTAATTTAAAAAATTACCAAAAATATGTTCTTCATATCAGTTCAAATAAACAGCTTCATTCTGGCCTTTATTTCATAGAAATTGACGGAAAACTAGAGCGGGTAGGATAAAATTGATATAATATCGGCGGCCATATTTGATGACGTCATTGGGGAATAACCTACCACGTGGTGAGTGTCCACCCAAGTTCAAAATAATTACTTCGGCACCCACTAAACATTTCTTCAAAAAGATTCTCCCTACTCAAACTTTCGTACAGAACCATAGTCAGATGCTGGATTAGATACCCTGACGTTGACGATAGCATCAAACGGAACGAGAACAGGTCAGGGCTCCACGGCACTAAGGCCTGGGCAGGTGACTTATAGTTTTAAATTTACCAATTTTTCCAAAAAAGGTAAACTGACAGAATCCGATTCTAATCTTACCAATGGAACTAGATACCCACATTCAGCAAAGTTACCTGTTTTCTTCTGCTTTACGATCAAGAAACAGTGTATTTTTTAATTACTTTATACCCACAAATGTTTTTTTTAAAACATTACCATTACGCGGCATACCTCCGGAACCCTCTAGACTCCGGGCCCCTGGACAAGTGCCCCAGTTGCCCCGCCCCCCCCCCCTCGTACGGGCCCTGCTTTATTTCCATCGCACGGCTTAACCTGGTGTTTGACTACCGGAGTAATACCATTAGCCATGCTCATCAGAAAAAATACATCCCAACAGCTAAAACGTAAAAGATCGGGTAGACCAGTTTTCATCTTTTTGAACTCTGTGGTATTGACTTCCTGTCTGTCCACATGAACGGGACCCCTAAAACGTAACTTTTTAAGTGTAGCTTTTAGGAACACTACCAGGGGGGCGCTTTTCGCATTACAGCCAAAATTGTTTTTCGTTTTTTTGTAACACATCTCGAGTACACATGTGTCAAAATATGAATCCTTATGATGATTGTGGGGATTAACCTACTTCTGAGTGGCCCAAATATGAAAATTGGTCAGCCCCGCCCATTTAACCTTTAATGCACTTCTCCAGTAAAAGAACCCTTTGCAGTTGGAATTCGATATAAGAGTGCTTTTGCGCCACTGATGGAGCCCAAGTGGAGCAGAACAGTAGGACGTATGTATCACCCCATTTCATTTCATTTCTTTTGTCAACAATTAAAATGAATCTGTGTTCCTACGGCTACTGTAATAGTATCACCTTTCGACAATGCAGTCATATTTATATACTTTTAGCTTCCTTCTACGTTATTGTAACACATTGTTCTTGTTTATCAACCCATAATGGGCAAATCCTCTTCTCTGAATCAGAATTCGTTTCTCTAACATGCATAAATGAACTAATTTTGGAAGAAATGCGACGTCTGATATGCCGTTGTGACGTCACAGTAACGTCATGACGTCGTAGAGACATAACGTCGCCATTTTTGAACTCGCTGGTACCGACTTCCTATCTGTCCGCAATACATTTATGGTATCTAAATCCAATAGTTTTAGAGATATTTGCAATTTTTGATCGACAGCCGCCATCTTGGATTTGGCCACGCCCCCTGTCCTTATTTGGACTCCGATTTTGGTAAACTTTCTTTTCCTTACTTAGGACATTATAATGAGTAAATAGAAAACAAAAAATCTTTTGTTGCAATTTGTTTTACGTACGACATCATTTAACCGTCGTTTGACCCGCCTAAGTCCATTAAACCTCGCGGAAACTATTGAGAAGTACTCGCTAGCTTTGCCTTCTAGACAAAAACATAATTGATCTCTGCACTCAGTGTCAGACCAAGCATTTACGGCCGCAAAACGTGTAAATTCATTCGAAAAAGCTTGCCAATTTGAAATGCCATCCTAAGATACAGACTTAGGAGCCAATGAAAACCGTTTTGGTCCTGGGTATTGTTACGTGACGTTACCCGTGTTCGAACGGGAAGACTTATATGCACCGGAGGACGACGGTGTCGCTGCCTCGGTGAAATCAAAACAACAAAAAAGAGAGGCTGACAAAATCCATCAACTCTGGAATTTGCATTAATTCCTCAAGATCCAATTTTCCGCATGCATCGCGGACTCCTAACAACTTGTCGGTTGCTATAGGACTGACACCTATATCAAGTAAGTCATCTCTAGAACATGTGTTGACGTTTATTTTGCAAGCCATGTTGTCCCTTTAATAAACCAATCTAACTAGCTTCTGTAATGCAATAATATACCACGTGTTGATACACGGGTTTAGCCCAGACAGTGTCTGCAAGAGCAATCCGTATATGCACAGACACGTGCGTCTAACTTCTAAGTAAATAAATTTATCAAGGTGTTAATGAGTCGTACTGGGAAATGCGAGACACGCTCACAAATACGACCCTTCACACTTAAGTACAAAAACAATTTATATTAAATCAATCTTTATTAAAATTTCTCTTCCTCTCCCTTTTTTTTAAATGAACAAAAGTTTAAACAATGTCAATGTTGTAATAAGTTTTTTATCGCACTACGAATGTAGAATTTTCCAGCCAACTTGGCTGACAAGTTGAGTCCGCAAATGTATTTACCGTTTAAGCATCTCTGAATCTCTGTGAAGCTTTCACGACCGATCCATTGACGGTGATGGCTTATATGCTGTCCGGCGTAGGAATACGGGAACTCAGGTTGAAGGTTGTG